ATGTCGTCTGCATACTGGAGATCAGAGGGTCCATCATCTGGAAGTAAATCGATGCCACTCTCCTCGCACGAGTTTAGGACTGTCTCCATTATCAAATCTGTAAGAAAGTTAAATAGAAAATGAGAGAGAGAAGGCAACCCTGACAAACACCACTAATCCGTGGTGATGTCGAGTGAAAAAGTGCCATATGCTCGGAACCGACTTCGGCAATGAATATAAAGGGAACTAAAATAAATTTTTCGGGCACACCCTTCAGGGAAAGCAACGCCAGAGTTTAGAGCGTTCGATTGAGTAGAAAGGTGCTTTCCAATCAAGGAAAACGGAGACGGAGGATCTACGAAAAGAATATCGATGCTCCAGAGTTTGGTGAAGAGTGAAGATATGGTCGATACAACGTCGACCAGGTGTAAAACCAGCCTGGTTCTCAAATGTGCACCGTTTTCGTGCGGTAGACAATCGATGGAGCATGATGCCAGCAAGAAGTTTAGAGGCAATGTTTATTAAACTAATTCCTGTGGTTTTAACAAGAGGATCTGTTACATTTCTCGTAAATCCGTATGGTCACCGATTCACATCCTTCAGTTGGAACCTCTTCCCTCTCCCACACTGAGCCCAGTAGTTTTGTTAACCAAAACCAAGGCTGAACCTCCATACCTAAAAGTCGATAGAGACAGCCCGTCCTGGCCGGAAGCTCTATACCTTTTCAGATAGCTTATTTCCTGGAAAACTTTCATTTCAGATGAAGGACTGATGCTAACTGGCTGTAGTTGCACAGTTGAACCGGGTATGAGGAGATCTTGTGCTGATCAAGGCCAACTGAACTGTGCCCAACGATCAAGGCGGCGTTCCTGAATTTGAATCAGTGTGCCGTCAAACTCCTTAATCACCTTAATTGCCTCACTTACGCCTACTTTCCTTGATCCTGTACTCCTAATTAAACGAAAAAGATTGCGACTATTACCAATAGCCGCAGCCTTCTCCATCTCTCTACACTTCCCTACCCACCACTTCTCGTGGTCATTCCTCAGACTCTTGATGAGCCGGCGTTTAAAGGATTTGCGCGCTTTGTCGTAGTTTGAATCCGAATGAATGGCTTTGCGAGCGTCCAGCATGGCAACTGAAGTCGGTGAGATCCATCGTTTACTATGCCTAGGGAGAATCTCACGCGTGGCAGAGCATGGTCCGTGTCCACGGCTGTTGACTAGTGGGAGGGGCAGTCTTCAGTGCTTTGTTCTGTAGCTGTTGATCCGTACTGAACCATCCAAACGTACAGCACAGAGTTGGTTGTTAACCAGGATCCAATCGAGAAGTGAACGCGCGGCCTTAACACAATACCAACACTAGCAAGATCGCGAGCTTCGGATGCCGAATCGCAAGAATGAAGCGTGATAATCAGGAGGTCGCAGGCAGATAATTGTATGCGTGTTTCGGAGACACAGCATACATCGAAATGGAAGGTTTCAAGGGTTCTAGTGGGGTCTTAAGTGGTTCGCCACTTCAAGTTCCGGGCTTGGGTTACCGGTTTTCATGACGGAGCAGCAGGTCTTCGTAACTGTGGGGTTAGCCCCGTCTGCTGTTCACCACACAAATGTGTGTAATTAAAGAAAGTGAACCGATGGAGGCGGAACACTGAAGATGTCATCTCGGCTGTGGATGAAATAAATGTTTGCAAACAAATTGACAAGTTCGGCGAACGGGTGGAAAAGAGTTCACCCCGCCAGAGTTACAAGAACCCATTTGCAATACCTTGTCATCTCCACGTGGTACTAATTCAAATTTGATTCGATGAGCAATAAGGATGACTTAAGAATGATGTGACAACCGAGTAAAAATTGATTAAAAACAGCCTAAAACTCAACTACTAGCACACAAGGTTATACTATTTAAGAGTGTATCATGGCTTCAGCCAGTTGAATCTTAATAATTGACAACTTTTAACTGTTTAGATGTCAATAACTTCACTATTTTACTTCTTACTCGATATCGACCTGTGATCATACGAATTCACGTCCCTCCTCTTTAACGTATCAGTTGCTTGTTGCTTCAGACATCTGTACGTTTTCGATTATTGAATGAAAAATACCGATTTGTCTGCCAGTGATTGATCTCCTCAGTGTAGTTCGTAAATCGTCTGTCGATTGACCGCATCGATCCGATTGATGGTCATTCCCCAAGCATTGCAAGCTAGAAGTAAGCAGGTGGGTTGTGGATGGCAGATGTGTACGATCATTGTTTTGCGAATAAACTATGGAAAAATGGAAACAAGCCATGAGCCGTGGGCACAAAGCGGAAGTGTGACTGCACAACACGTAGCCACCCGGTACATGAGACGCTTAACTGGTGAAGGGGGTATTTGTTCTATGTATGTTTGGTAGGTCTCACGTCTGGCGGCACGGTCACGTGACAATCCAAATGTCTACGCGCTTCAGATCGGATCGAAATGGTCCGATCGCTGGTGTGTGTGTGCGCCTAACATTGTTGATTGCGTGACTGAGTGACAACACACGTACTGTGAAAGACTAACTGGAACTAGAATGTGAGGCACGTAAACCTCTTGGAGATTCGCTTGTAACTTCCTTACCGTGGATAAAATTAAGACAACAGATAACAATACTGACAATACTAAACACCTCACCTCATAAACGTTCCTTATCTTGTGAAGCGATCCCTATCTAATGTGATTGCTCATGAGTTATTAAATTAAGAAGCTTTACAGGTACCCACGAGTGGCGTTTGTGTTTCCATAACCTCTGCGTGTTGTTGGTTTTTCTCGGTGCATATGGTACCCCTCACCCTCTAAAGGAATAGGGTTTTAGGTGACATTCTGACCAGTCGAAAATGTTTTCCCCTTCGCTGATCAATAGTGAGCTTCAAACCTTTTTTGGACAATATTTACCGTTTCATTTTATCACATCTGATTTGTGCACGTTGAGTTCAATGGACCACAAATCACAAATGAAGGCCGAAAGGCTTATTTGAATCATTTACTCTACATGTCGGTGTGTGCGCGCGCGCACCTGCTAGGCGAGCCGTCCCATTTAGTCTTACCTATCTAATGTTCTTTATGAGCAGTTTTTTTGAAAGAACAAGTGTTTCATATTCGTTTTTTAGCCACCACCTACGTCCGCCGTGTCCCCATCCTCGTTCAACACCATTCTCGAACCCGGTGCTCACAGAGAACTCCCGAATTCCACCAGTCATTCCATCCAAACTGTTCCTCCGCTTCCATCAGAAACAGCATCATCTTTTCAGCTTCCGGTCTTGTCACCATCACCGTCTTCACAGGTGGACACAGGCAGTCCTACCGCTGGTGTTTCTGTGGCTTTAGCTCTTCGGGCGCTCAGTCAGCTATGCCAACACGAATCCGATCCGCTGTGTGCCAGTTTGACAGAACTGTTGCAGAAGTTGAGTTCTATTCTGCTGGTTCTGTCGGGGAAGCAGCAACAACAACAGCGACACCAACAACCTCAAGTCGGTCCGAGACAACCAGATCCCGTTGCCACTCCGGAAAACTTACCTGTTGAGCCTTTCGACCGTATTTCGATCACTCATCTAAGCTTGGGCGACCATCACCCAGCCGAGCATAGCCCACATTTAACTGGGAACGGCTCTACCGGGATCCATTTGTTACCGACAAAATTTCCATGGCCACCTGCTGCTTCACCGCTGACATCTAGTTTGACTGATCACGGTTCGGGTGCGTCCAATTTGTGGTCCCTCAGTAAACCTTCGACACTTTCATCCACATCGAACCGCGTATCGTTTGTTGTCTCGCCGCGATCGATAAACGCAGATAATTCGCTCGTGACAGCTGCTCATCAGGTCAGTTGTTTAGTGGCTAGTTCAGTTGGTCTGTACTGTTGACTGAAAAGTTGAAGGTCAAAACCTTATGCTTATTTTTTGCCTGTTGTTTTCTTTTTGCATAAAAATTTGTACTGAAAGGCGCAGTCGTGGAAGGTGAAGTGTGACGAGGATGATAACGGGATCCAAGTGATGTGATGATGATCGACATTGCCAACTCACTCATTTTGCATACGATTAACGGATGCGGACATTTGTTGCATTACCGCCATCGGCATGCCCTAAGGACATCTGATCTCTGATACAGTGGGATCCGAATTTGCTGGTCAATCGAGACCGGGGCCCTGTGTGCGGATATTTACCTCACGCAGTTTGTAGAATTCTCCACTGGAAGCTTTTTATCTGATTAATGGATTAAGCACAGTAAATACATTTGGGTATGTAATGACTGAACAAATCTGAAACAGGCCACGTCGCACAGTGCGAACTCCTCGCTCGGGAAATGACACGATCACTTTCCTCATCTTAGTTCTAGTCAATTCAAACCAGACTTGATGGACTAAAATGGGGCGAATTTTCAGCAATTTCGATAAGGTTCGGTGCAAAAAACGTGAACATAAAAAGACTACTACTGTATGCAATAAAAAAAATCAATTCCATTGTTGTGATAACGTAAGGACAAGACAACAAATAGTACTGTTTCGGTGACTGGTACCAATACCAGTACCACGTGCAAAGGAGCGGCCTAAATTTTAAACGAGTCGGTGGATGAGCCACATTTATTGGAATGGGCATGCAAACAGTATTCTTTATTAGACTGGCGAATCGATTAGAGGCATCAAATTGCTTACCCACAATGAAGTACACCAAGATAACCTTAGGAATCACATTGCAATGCGAAAGGAAATTTTGTCCAGACATTCATGTACTACTTATTACGAAATATTGTATAGAGTCAGTCAAGTCACGTTTTTTGCGGTTAGTAGCATTCTTCCCCACCTTCAGAACATCGAATCATGGATGGGCTCCGAAAGAGTTGTCCTTCCATAATTACCCATTGTTTCAAATGAGGTTATTGTGACGAAAATACACATCCTGGATACACCGGCTTGCGGACAAGCAAGGTGCCAACGCCACAACAATAATAACTGGAGGGATACAAAACATAGGGAAAAAGACGGAACTGTTGAAATGGAAAATTACGAAAAGATGGGATAACAATTTTTTGTGCATTTCACCGTACATTAATTGAAATTTTTGTGTGTTGTTTTTACGGGGCACGGGATTTCGACAGGCAGACCGTACAGCATTCGCGCCACTGACTTCTATTTTGGGCCATATCTCTTATCGTCTCTAACCANTTGGGCCCCAACCTGGAATGCGGGTTGCACCAGCTGAGACCAAAGCTGAAGCTTCTTCCTACCTCTACGCTATGTCATAGTCTGACCGCCGCGCCGCTTCATCCAGCCCTGCCGGGCATGTGCGAAGTGCGCACGGAAAGGTATTCGATGGGCAGGTATATGCAAACGTGACCAAGTCATCGGAGACGGTGTAGAGGGATTACTTCTGTTAGAGAACGACTATCCACACACTCAACACACGATGACAGACCTCGTCATTACTCACCCGATGTTCCCACCGGACACGAGCAATACTTCGGAGATATCGGTGGTCGAACACGGAAGGTCGCTTGGCATCCAGCTGTCCAGTGCTTACGTGATTGCCAATTAGATTGCTAATCCTTAATTCGTATTACGTGATCCGCATTGCGTAGTTCGTGTTCCGAATTCAGTGGGCATTACTAATACTATTACTACAATCGCTACAATGTTGTATTTCATTGTGCATGCTGGCGGTGGGGATTGATCGGCACGACATGTCAGACAACAACTAACTAGGCCAGCAGAATGTAGAGCATTCTTGATAAGCGACCAGTGCTGATTAACTTCGTCGAGGAAGGGGGGGTTGATTCTAGCTTTTCAGCTAGCGCGTTCTGAAAGACAGTTCGGCGTTCTGGTTCAAACAACTTATTACAGTCTAACCGTAGTAGCGTCGTGCGTTTGGAACGCCCACGGAAGCACATGGACAGCTTGGTGCAAACTAGCGCGTGTTCGGATTCGAGGGCAGTGCTCCAGTATGATCGGCAGTCTTGAGCTGATAAAAGATGACCGGATATGCATGCCAGACGAGCGGCAAGAACCGTGAAACCGGCCGTGTGCTTCCATGGAATTTTTATCCAGTCATTCATATACTGCTTATTATATATACGTATTGCATCCGCATCTGAGTTCAGATTGTGTGCCAAACAAGTCGCAGTATAATAAAAATGAAATCAGTTCATGATTTCCTTGTACACGGGATATTCATACTCATTTTGTTTTCAAGGAATTCACAGCCTTCATCAAACCACCCATAAGACAGTGAACGGTTTGTGAAAGCCGCAATTCATTGGGGGCCGATGTTTCGTTCATCGGATCGTACGCCCTGTGATCGGGATCACATCCCAGGTGACTGATACGTTTCGATGCCCGATCGAGCCGTTGACAACCACCACCTAGACCAGGAAGGTGTGTGTGGCTTGTACAACTTCTCAATTCGTTTGGAATCCGGGTGTTCANTTCCCTCTATGAACTGCCAGTGTTTCACCGACCCAGATATTGGTATTTTTGTTCCCTCACGTTGGTGGAGAAGCACCTGTGCCATGGGAAGGCAGTACGTTGGACCATATCACCAGGGCCGACTGTTTCAGACGCTTAGTCATATATATATATTCGGTCAGTAAGCAAAATAGCTCGCAATAATACAATATAATTCGGTTCTCGTAGTGGGATGTGCAGGTTCAATTGAATCAGGTTCAGCCTATACAATCATTGATTATCCACCTCCATGCTCTGGTTTGTTTTGCTGTCTCCTGACAACTTATCTGTTTGGTCGGTGAAGATGAAAGATTAGAACTGCAAACGAAGGTTTTGAACCGTGACTTAAAAGTACACATGCAGTGTGATGACAAATTAGGTGAGTGAGATAAGTAAGGTAAGTAAGTATCCTCAAGTAGCACTGTTTACTGCATCTAACCCGAACGTCGAACATAACTGACCAAGGATGTCCAGCTCTCAGGCCACATCATGGTCTGACCACTTTTGACTGTTTGTCTGTCTACCTGTCACGGTCAAAGTGCAATTGGTTGTTCTTCCAGTTTTCCTGGTTCCGTTCGTCGATTTAGTTTTATCGGTAGTTTTTTGTAGTCTGCCATCTTTTGTCGTGTTGTAATCTGAGCCTGGTTACCTGGTTACCAACTACGTCTGTCGACAGTAAGGAGATATGATGAAATTGTTTGCTACCGAAAAACCGGGGTCTGCTATGATGATTGTTTGGCGTTGTTCAGACACTACAACTTGGCGGTCGCTCATGATTGACTCTCCATGTAAGTTAGGTATTGTTGCATAACCATATGTGACACAAAACAATTAGTTACGACCAGCGGGAACCTCAGTTCGATTGGAACACTGACCAAGGGTGTGTGTGTGATAAACAAATACTTACGAGATCCTTCTGTTTTGGAAACTGGCCACGTCAACTGACCTTGTTAGGCTGATTTATCGGCAGTGTTTCTCTCACTGGCCTTCAGTCCCGTGGCTGGTCTTGTTTGACCCTCATTGCACTATAGTCGGCACCATACACCATTCAATATCAATGACTGGAATGATGATGACTCATGCTTGCTTTCTCGCGCACGAATGGATTACACTCTCTGTCTGCATGTATTTGCGCAAATCCGTCAGTCACGTGCCGATCGTGCACAGTTATGCATCTCGTGAACTGCACTGGTTGCGCCTCGGAACACGTGATCACTCGTGAGGCACTTTCACACGGCTCCGGCTCTTGTCGGCATGTTCTCGATGATTACCATCGTCGTCGTCGTTCACTCCTCTCTTGTGCTTGCTCTCTCTCTCTCTCTCGCACACATACACATACGATTTATTTATTTTGTACCAAATGCACGCGTAGAAACACATGATTGACACTTTCTCAGTCGACTTGGGGGTGACATGCCACCTGTCTTGATATCTGTCAGCTTTTTTGGTGGGTGTGTGGGAGGGGGGAGTGAACACTTAGCCAGTTTTGCACATCACTGCGTTGCCAATCGCGTCGCTTGGTCTCATTAACCCGGTGCAATGGTATGGCGCAACCATGTCCTACATTTCTCCGTTCAATACTATGCCTCTCATCCCATCCCGTCACCTTGTCATATCACCTTTACAAATCCCACCCTCTTTCGGCACCAATTCTACCTATCCCGATTTCGTTTGATCATGAATTCATGAGAAGGGTTGTTTTAGAGTTCGGCAATTCGGTCTCTGAGCTTTGTGTTATCATATCAATGTCTAACACATTCGTAGATCACGAGAACTCGTCCACATTTTAGTTTTGACTTTTTGAATTTTAAATAATTTAAACAGCCTCTTACTAATGTAACTTGTTTAATGTAATCGTACATTATTGTCACTATCAATGTCCTTGTTGTTGTTGTTGTTATTGTCTTCCAGGTAGAAGATAAGCGGACGCATACTACCACGAAACAAACACTCTCCAAACGCCATCGCACCAGTTCCGCCTCTGCATTCGTTTCGCCCTACTCACGTGTAACCTCGTCACCGTCGCAAGTGACCTTTGGTCAACCAAAAAACAACGTAGCAAAGTCGCATTTGGGTTTGCTGTCAGATACCAGAAATCGACCAACTTCCATCAGTCACCCGGATACGCATGCCAAGTTTGGTGGTGGTGGTGGTGCTACGTCCATGTTACACAAACGAGGTGTTTCAGTCGAAACGCACGCAGACAGAGCTCATCCAAACTCACCGGTCGCAGCAAGCAGTAACGCAGTCAATACCACCAGCACCACATCGTCCGGTCGATCTGATGTGAAAAAGTGTCGTAAAATGTACGGGATCGAGAATCGCGATCAGTGGTGCAATCAGTGTCGTTGGAAAAAAGCATGCCGTCGATTTCCTGACCCTGCCAGCACAAAATCAACGTCAGGAAGTAGCAACATGTGCAGTAGCAGTGGTAGAAATAGGGTTGGTACCGGCGCTGAAGCTTCAATCAGTCCGACCGGCTCGATGGGGTCCAAATCTACACACAGCAACAGCAGCAGCAGCACAGAGTTATCGACGACAACAATGGCGCGGCGTCAAGACCGCAACCAGGCCTTGCTCGGTCGGAGCTCTAGCACTACTACCACCGCCAATGCGACTGCTTTGCCATCAAAACTTGGAATTCCGGTTACCGCACCCACTACCATGACCACCCGTGCAGTCACAGTTCCCACGTCGGCTACAAACGCGGCATTCTTAGTGTTCCCAAAGGTTTCTACTGAATCTACAGCCACATATAGTTCAGATGAGTTTTGCAGTCGATCCGCTCCAGCGGTGTTTCATAGCACCACTAATACAACACTCGGTTTGATGGTCGATACTTCATCTGTGACCACGGAGCGGTCTCCTGATGACGTAGTGGTAGTAGAAGAAGCAACAGCAGCAGAAGAAGAAAGTGCGGCTAACGAGCAGGAGGAGGAGTTGGAGGAGAATTATTCTCAATTCGATCTGGTGGAACGATCTGGTTTTTGATAGAAGATCGAAAATGGGTTTCAGAGGAACGAGCCCCACGGCGCAAGGCCATAACAGTCACACATCACCAATACCTGTCATACCAAAGATTCAAACACGCTCCTAGTCACTTATTTGATTTGTTTTTATTATTGTTCTCCATTTTTTTTTCATTCCTCTATTCCCGTGTCCTTCCTTTATCCACTCTCCATCTCCTGCATACTCTTTTGGAAAAACATTCCCAAAAGAGATAAACAGAGGACAGTTCGAACAAGTTTTGTTGACCAGTTGATCAATTCGGATCACGTGATTAGGGATCGGAAAATTCAAAAACTCATCTGGTTTTTGAATGACCAACACACGCACAATTGAACACGATTTCGGGTCTTGTGCGAATCTCATTGATTCGAGTCTACTTCATGTCTTCACATGACCCGTCAAACAGAAGTTCCCAGATGTGTTTGTACGGAGGCACTGGGTCTCTTCCACCAGCATCAGGTACAAGCTGATGCATTGGTTATTTCAACGTGTGTCGTTGGTGGTGCTGTTGGTTACTGCCCTAATTTCCTGCCCTGGCTCCTTTCATCTTGTGCATCGCCTATCCGTGATTTTTTTTCTTCGCGATGTTTCCGTCCAACCATCTGAAGGTAATCACAGCTGACGAGAGTCCAAACTACTGAACTTGACCCATGTCATTCACACTTTTTCATTCATCGCATTGTCTTTTCATGCTCACCTTCCACAATATCCAGTGCTTTCACTACTCATCTGTCATTCATGGAACGGTTTGATTTTGAGGGCTCTTATATTGTTCTTACTCATATTGTTATTATTCTGCTAATATTGTTACTATTACTATTGTTACGGTTTATCCGACTCCTGATATTCCTGTCGATTTTTATAAATTCTGATGTTCCGCGCTGTACCATTTCAGTCCTGTCCTCTCACCCCGACCCTCTCTCCCTCCGCCCCTGGTTTTGCTGTTTCATTGGTTTTTCTCTCACGCGCCATTTTCGTTCAGCCATCTTGTCTACGGATATATTTTTTCACTTATACGCCGATTTTCGTCATTTTTATATTGCCAATATTTTCGCTCTTGTCATCCTCATTATCATCAGCATTCCCGCCACTTTGTCATTGTTTTAATTTCTTATTGTGTGTTCATGTGTTTTCCGGTGATGGTAATCAAACTATAGTTCCATGTCGTGTCGTCATATATTGTTAGTCACATGACTAGCCGCCTCATCTCGCTCTATCTCTCTAAACTGCGCTGACCATCGCCGGCCCCGGTCAGTCCTCCGTCTCCTTGTTCACATGCTGCGTTCGGCCGGCGCGCGATCGCCGCCGTCCGCGGCCAGAACACAACACGCAGCCATTCATTCATTCACTTGATCGATCCTCAGTTTTTATTCATTACCCTCCCCCTATTTTTTCCTAGTCCAATTATTGTGTGGCCTGTTTTTGTTTTCGCGCGCACGTCATGCCACGCGATCCTTGTTTCTGTCCCGAATCCTTACTCATCTCGTCTGTGCTCACGGATATCTTTCATGCGGAATTCGTGTGTGTGTGTGTGTGTGTGTATCCGTCAAACACTCAAACGGATCAAAGAATGAATAAATTGGATCAATGCATCTGACTGACGAACTGGTCATGTGATTGATCGACACATTCATACAAACATAATCAGACATTCACTTATTTTTCTTCTTTTAATTTTATCTACATTGTTTTCATTTTTGGCACACGATTTTTTTTTAGCCAATTACTCCATCTCATTCATTCATCCATCCGGGAATGTGCGCGCGACCACAGATTCAGCTTGTAATTCACTTTGCCTTGTCCTCGTGTCCCTTCCAAGCTTCATTCCCGACGGAACCTTCACCCAATCTCTCTCTCCCTCAACTCGAACAGGTCATATTGATGAACACATTCCATTTTCGCGGAACGAGGGAGTTAAATGTTTTTTCACTCGGCACCATTACCAATTCACACATTACGTGTAGTCTATTTCTGTCCCTCCCCCCACTCTCCCGTTCGTTTCATTAATTCTCTTGGTTTCTGGAATCTTCCCAGTTGAAAACAGCTCCACGATGATCCATGCACACTCACACACAATGGTCATCATATTTGTTGGCATCGTCATGATCCTTGCAATTCTTCTGTTATTCCCTTTTTGTTTCTTCCATTTAGGTAACTTTCTTATTTTTCTGTGTTTCCTGCCTGTCCGACATCCATCTTTCTTCCTCCACGACACCTTGTACCTTTCGCTAGGTCGGATTCATCGGCTCAGGCCGTTCTCTATTTTTCTACTCACCTATTTCTCGCTGTTTGAAACTACCAGTGCTATCACTATGACTGTCATCACAATATCCCCTCCCGAACATCCTTTTCCGATGTATTGTCCACGCCAATTTGAACCGGTGACAGAACTGTGGTTCATCCCGGGCTTACCGCGGTGGCTTGTTCGTTCTGCTGTACTGACAAATGAAACTATGGTATGTTCCCGTTGAAATGATACCGATTTGTGAATGTGGGTAGAGAGAAATATCGCCGGTAGATAAAAACAGCTCGGAACGTACCTGTGCGTCAACGCGCACAGCACGTGTCAAACTGTGCCTTCAC